TTCAAAATGTGCGTGCAAGCCATGTTATATGTCTCAACGAAATGTATTCTTATCTAGGCTACCGACAGCGCGGTGTGCAGTCTTCGTAACATATCTACGCGTCAGGAGAAACAGGCGGAACAACTGAGCGTACCAGGAGGTCACCGGACAGGGCCAGGGGACGTGCCTGTACTCTGCATGCAGTGACGCGGGCGTCCGGTAGCGTTGCTTGAAAGACCTCGATAGTCGGTACACTGAGTTAGTCCGAGGTATATGCATGTATAGACACAGCGAACGCGTTATATGCATAGCCCACTTCGGACGGCGTCGATCGACGTCGAACGGGTCATTGTATGTATAAAAGCAGCCTATCTATATACAAACAGAGCCGATCGATATATGAAATCGACCACTTTAGACGCCGATCTGTCATACAAATCGATCCGAAAAGACGGCAACAGATGAGATTAGCCAGCAATCGTCCGCAATAGGCGGGGTTTTCACTGGGCATGACCGTCAAGGAACGGCGTGGTGGCCGTGGGAATCCCACGGTTCCAGAGACTCGGAACACGCCGACTCGCACCGTCGCACTTGTACACTGCACCTGTTCCACTCGACAATACGCACGGGTTTGCCCCTGTCCACCAGGCGTAAAATCGGAGCCCGGATGCAAGCACTCAAAAACGTAGCAAGTCGCACTACAAGAGCCCTCAAACTTTGCAACCATGACCTGTCCTGGCAACGCAAGGAGCTGCGGTGCAATCCATCCACCAAACGTGAAGGAGTCACGATGGTCGTCCATGCGCATACCGTCCCGCAACCGGGCATGCAGCTAATCGACGGTATTGCTTAGCACGCATACACTTCACAAGACGACGGAGCGCGACCGCTGGCACTAGTATGCGCCGAACTTGAAACCCGCTTCTCCGCGGTCTGTACGGCAATTACGTACACCGTTGATGCTTCTTATTGTACCCTTTAGACGGGTAACCAGTTCGCTGTGGTGAGTGCAGGTATATCCCACTCCGAGGATTCTAAGGTACTTGGATTACCAAATTCTTGCGATGTCGTGGGAGCATAGGGTGTCCCGCATCGCTGATCTCCATTCCATCTCAATCAGGGTCTTCTTTCTTCTCAAACGCCGTCTTGAGCCCTCATTGGATACCAAATATGCTCACCCTTTCATCAACAGGTTACCGTCGTTTCAAATGCGCGTCAATGCCACACTGCTCGGTCTTGTGTCCGACTGTCAAGGTGCTGGTCACGCACGGATGCGCACGGATACGCACAGTCCACAGCAGTTCTCATATAAAATTCCCCCTTCCCCGGCAGTCACTTACTCCCCACCTCGTTCAATTCCTTCTTCCCCTTCCTTCGATCCCCAGACCCTTCGACGCTTGCCGTTGTACCTTGTCCTGACGTCTTCATTCATCATGCGTTTCGCCGCCCCTATCTCTGCTCTTGCCTTCGCTGTTGTGGCTCTTGCCCAGGATCAAACTGTGAGTGGTGTGCGTTCGCTGTCAATAATGTCAGGTCTGACTATCACCATCGTCTGTAGATTCATGTCGGTAACAACGGCACTGGCAGCGGACTTTTCTTCAGCCCTCAGTTCGTCAACGCGACCGCCAACTCGACTATCACCTTCGTCTTCGACACTCCGAGCACCAACCACACGGTTGCACAGTCGTCCTTTGCTAAGCCTTGCGAGCCTCTTGCGAACGGTTTCGACTCGGGGTACACCCCTGGTGCTGCGGGCGTTGCTGCTCCCACCTGGAACCTGACGGTCACTGATGCCTCCAAGCGTAAGTCGGCTGTTGGCGCATACACGAGCACACCTAATTCCTTCCTCGGGCAGCTATCTGGTTCTACTGCGCACAACCCACCAAGACTCACTGTATTGCCGGCATGGTCGGGTGAGTCGCGACCTATCGCACCTCCGATGGCTGCTGACCTCTGCTGTAGTGGTATTAACGTTCCCGCTCCCCCTGCCACAAACGACGGCTCTGCGTTCATTGCGCTCGCCACGGGTGCTTCCTCCATCGTCCAGCCGGTCCCCGCTCTCTCTGGTGTTGGTGCCTTCGCTTCCGCTGCCCCCTCTGCCACTGCCCCCGCCTCTTCGGGCAGCGGTTCCTCCTCCGGCACTAGCTCCGGCTCGTCCCCGAGCTCGACAGGCAACGCCGCCGCCGCGGTCGGCGTCAGCGGCGGTTTCGTCGCCGCGCTCGCGGCGGTGTTCGGTGTTGCCCTCCTCTGATGGTGAATTCCTCGAGCCACGCATTTTCTCTGCACTTTGTGCTAGATAGATCGCAGTGCCGGCGCGAACGATCCCTTCGATACGTCTCAAAATTGACAGTGTTCAGTGACATCCGTGGGTACGGTTGCGGTTGTTGGGTTCGTGGGGTGTCGTAATCGCTTCTCGTATTCGTATACCTGGTTACTGCGGCTGGTGACTCTTACGATATGTTCTCGAGCGATTAGTACTTGTCTTGGTAGTCTGGTTGTACGGTCGGCAACGAGGGGGAATGAACGACAGGTGGATTCTAACACGTTCTAGTCCGTTCAGGCTCGATGGCATGCACGTCGCTGTCCAACTTGCGTCAAGGCAGCGGGGATGTCATCAAGAGACATAAGCTGCGGCGATTGAGTTACTTTCGTGGCAAATTTACCTCAGGATGCGCAGACAGCGAGGGAAGCAGATGGAGGCAACAGAACCCTGTCAAGCTGTTCTTCGACAGCGTGGTCTTTCCGCGGACGGATGCTATGACCCGAGACGGTGGAAGCTCGAAGAGGTTGAAGAGCATGCATCCTCGTGATGGTTGCCTCCTCCCCGGCACTTGTAAATTCGGCCGCAGCCGAGCGTGAGTGGGAACTCGCATTGCCCTAAATGACCGCAGCGGCGGCAGATTGGGGCCTGTTGAGCATTTGTGATAGATCTTCGACCCAGCGCGGTTCCATGAACGGATGCACTGTTGAACGAGGTGGTAGGTTCATGACGTCCAAATCCCGCACAGCGACGAGACCGCCCAGCCGCAAGCCCCGCCCAGCCGCAGCCAGGCCTCAGGCCTCAGGGGTGATCTCGCGGGCCGCCGCTCTAGGTTAGCACCCCGACTACGGCCCCTGTCTGATCTGTGGTAAGGGCGCGAGTGTAAATCTAGATGGAGGTGCGCCAAATCTACAACATTTGAGATGGAAATCTGAACTGCTGCTGTTCAGGGGTTCTACTGATACTAGATGTCACTTGGCTCAAAAGCTGACAGCGCTTCCGCGACTGCACATCGTGCTGGAGGGCCAAACGAATTGCATAATTGGCCGGAAGACAGAGGTACGACACCGCTAAAATATATTGACGCTGCGGTAAGCGCGTACGTATACCGTCGCCAACGCCTCCCACGTTGGTTGTGCGCGCAAGATAGATATCCTGTCTTCTGCGCCGTTTCCAAACTTGAACCGATCGAACCGCACCGATGGAAGGCGAAGGTAATCAGAACACCGCGCTGCAGGTGGTGCTATGCGGGCGATGTGAGAAGACCTCGGTCGGGCGCCGAAACCGCACACGTTTCTACAGCCGTGACCTTCACTGGGCGGGCATGAAGTGACGGACGACAACGCGCGGATCACGATGCCCGAGAATGCCAGGAAAGCTCCCGGCGCAGATACTTCAACTCGGTCACGCAGCGGCGAGGCCAATTTAGATGCCACTTCAACTGGATTGAGAATGAACCGATCGTATCGTTTTCCAGGGCAGCACAAGTCAACAGGGGTTACGCTGGACGCGGTTCGTGTTGAGTTACCGAGCGCCCAGAAGTACTCGCCAAAGTGTTAGATATCCGCGCTCATATGAAGAGATACAAACTCAATCAATACGGCGCACTCGCATCGGGACATTTGCGCCTTTCTGGCCGATGACACGCGGACGCGGCAAGACACCACGACCAAAATATCGAGACTGTTGAGTCCGGCGAGTCTGCCGGAGTCTGGCGGACTCCGGGGATCACATGACGTTCTCGGGAAGCACCCTTGGCGCCCAGACACCTAGACCTGTGCCATCACTCCATCTCGGTAATTTACGTCTCGCCCCCCGCCTATTGGCTGTCCATACATAATATATCATATCGCATAGCGTAGAAGTCTATTCTTATGATATCTTCGATTTCCATGCATGGTTACCTGAAGGTCGCTCCCGCAAGTCTGGGGTATTGAGGTTTTCGCGACACGGCTGATTCATTGACACCACCTTGCATGAGGACAAATCGTAGTGAGAAGACGATGTTCGTAGAGGCCCTCATCGGAGAGCTATAGAGCGCTATCACCCACCAGAGGGAAGATCACCTGACACCCTGCCGCAAAGATTGGCTACTTCACGCAGTATCATGTCAACGAGCTCCACCAGTACCCTGCTGAGATCTCTGCTCTGCTCTCTCCTTCATAAGGGAGAGGAATCTGGAGTGCATGGAGCAAGCATGTCGTGCGCACCTGGGCAAGTACAGGATCAGAGCCAATGCTCTCCAGCCCTTGCGCTCCCTTAGCGGGAGCCAGATGGTTTGCGTCCGAGTCGTGTATGCTTTGGCGACATTCGAATCATCTCCCCACCTCCTTGTCTTAGATGAGGCGACTCACCATCTCGACTACCTGACGACAGAGGCACTTTCGAAGGTGGAGGCGGTTATAAAAGACAACA